TACGAAGTTACGGAAAATCAATTAACAAACGGAGACGTAACAATATATAGACTGCATGATTGTGAGTTTAGTAATAACAAAACCTATTGTGGTGATTTTTAAAGTGAAATTATCACAGACTGTATCGTAATAACAAAGCATAGATTACTAATCCGTCTTGTCAATTGTGTTTTAAAGTAACTGAACCAGCCTGTGTGGACTTTGACGAAATAGAGACAATTAATTAGGATTCTGGATACAACTGTGATAACTAACAGCGTAACGAACATTTGTTTATAAGTGTGACTTATTTCAATGTATTATTTTAAAACAAGTAGACTGTGTTTTTGTTTGTTTAATGCTGAAATTTATAGCCAAAAATTTACAGACACCTACTGTAACAAATCAGGCCTACAAGACCTGACAGTAGAAATACGGGTTCGAGTTTCAAATTACAAAGTGTTAACAGAAGCCTTTGCATAAAACTATTTCGAGCCAAAAAATGCTATTGCTTCACCAAAAGAATGTAGACTATGTAAAAAATGTTAAATACCATAAGCGGTTGCATTATAATTACATGAGCATAATTTTTACACCACAAAAATAAGGGATCCGGGCGAATCCCGTCTCTACGTACGTGCTTATCAATGATATTGTTACATCTCCGTTTGTTAATTAATTTTCCGTAACTTTGTTCCGACGAAACTTTAGCGACACAAGTCCTTTCTTAAATAAAACTGGTTTATTCTTTCCGAATACAACTTTACGATACACTCAACTTCAACAATCGCGCTATAACAAACTATAATTCACGTCTCACGAGCTCGACTTCAACAATACTTTCTGACTGCAGTTCAATTACTCATTACCTACACACATTATTTACCGTCACGTTGTCACCCACTTATATATATACCAGATTACCCTATATCTAGTAAATGCTAGGGCATTCACCAAGGTACAGGATAGTTCTAAAAACGTGGCGTGACACTAGTCATGTGACCTCGCTGACGCAACAATATGCCCGCATACCGCACTACTAGCCCTCCTCTGGACCATTTCCAATAAATTATGTTTTCCTGAAGTAAGAAGCTCAAGACTAAACAAAAGACTCCATATGTGGCCTAACCACTGATCTATACAATGAAACCATGGCATTTTTAGACTTAGTTTTCAATATTTATGTAGTTAGAACCTAAAATAATGTCTTCCCTACCACTAGCAACATCAAGATGCTTGTATGGCTTAAAAGACTAATCAACTAGAACACTAAGACCATTTTCTTCAATGTAATTGCTAAGGTTGTTCCTATATAATTATGAATGGCCAGGTGGTTAGGGCGATCTACTCGCAATGTGAGGGTCGCGGGTTCGAATCCTCGCCACACCAAATATGCTCGCATTTTCAGCCGTGGGGGCGTTATAATGTGACGGTCAATCCCACTATTCGTTGATAAAAGAGTAGCCTAAGAGTTGGCGGTGGGTGGTGATAACTAGCTGCCTTCCCTCTAGTCTTACGCTGCTAAATTAGGGACGGCTAGCGCAGATAGCCCTCGTGTAGCTTTGCGCGAAATTCAAACCAAAATATAATTATGATAAACCACATGCGATAACTTGCATTTATTATAATCAAAAACCATCTGTCATTCGCTCAACTCATTTAATAATTCAAATTCTTTTGTAAAGCAGTAGCATCCTCCTCACAACCAGTAATACCCAATATTTTAATATCTTCAGTAAATTCAATTATTTATTAATCATTCTTTCATTTATGTCACTGATGTGAATAAAAAAGAACAAAGATCCTAAAAATGTACTCTGAGGTACATAACTAGGACATTAGTCTAGTGTTATTACATTCCATTTATAACAACCATCTGCTTTCTTTTCAGGCATTTTTGATTACAATGAGTCAATGCATCCCCCAACACCGATAGAGATAATTTTTTAAACAATCCTTTTATATGGTATCTTGTCAAACATTTTCTGAAAATCGAAATATACCAATCTAAACCCTTGCCTCATCTACACAAGCGGCAACATCTTCTAAGAATGTCAAAAGATTAGTAAGGCAAGATTTTCCCCCAGTGAAACTATGTTGAATATCCAACAAATATTTTACTTTGTTAAACGACTTTGCAAAGCATGTTTTCTTATCACTTACACAAGACTAACAGGTCTATAATTACTGGGATGGTTAGAATTAGATTTATAGTTAGACGCAAAATTTCAGTTACATATCAGAAGAACTTTAGTATTTATTACAAGAATCACAAATGTCTCACAAGTTGTATTAGCCATTTTCTACCCACTGTACATGGACTTTACAAAAATAGTAGTAAGTTTCTTACATTTCCAATCGTTAACCTCCTTCAAAACCTTTTGGGGAAATATTATCTAGCGCAAGAGTCTTATCATTTTTTAAACTTCCCAATTTTTTTCTTAAGAAGGTCAGAAATAATTCAGTCACTTTGTTCGATCTTGTTTCCATCTTACAACAGTTCAGGATGAGAAATATTGCACAAATATTCGATAATAAAATTGAGGAAAGTAACCTAGTCATACCATAATCACCAAAAATGAGCCTTTCTTTATTAATTCCCAAAGGTCATTCTACCATCCTATCGTTTTACTTACCCTTTAATGTATTTAAAGAAATCCTTGCTATATTTTTTTTTATATTTACAGCTAATCATTTTTCACATTCCCCCCCTTTTTTTTATTCCACAATAACCTGTTTTACCGACTCTCGTGACTTTTTATAATTATAATTAACGCCCACGAATTTTTATTCTAGGTGGGGCAAACCATCGCTGAAAGCAAGTCATTTTGTCTTGAGGTTTACATGCAGTACTCTGGCTGATTATGTAAACTTAATTTTGTCATCTATATTTAAATAGTATTATTTTCTAATACATTTTTAAAATAAATATTCTTCTGAAATTTCAGGGTGGGGTAAATTCCCTCTTGTCCTATCTCGCGGACGCTCATGTAATTAAGTCTTTCATCATAGCAGTCAATTTAAAAAATTTAAATTTATGACGCTTTTCTCTTTTCAAAAGTTTTATCTTATATTCGTTTTGTAACCTAAGTTGGTTTTTGCTTCAAACTACACCGTGTATTTTATTTTTGTGATTTATTCATATGATAAAAATATTCTTTTTTACTTATTTCTACACTCTACTCAATTCTAAAGTACTTATGTTTGTTTGTACGTGCAGTAGCGCAAACCTACGTAATGCCTAATGCCCTATCTTCTCTGTGGCCAACAATGATCAAATCCACCCACCCCACCCCAATGAAAAAATAGACCATTCCAAGCTTTTACTTGTTAAACAAATGTTTAAACAACTCTGTTCAATTAGGATGTTTTGAGTTTTAAACCCACAAGATTCCCTCTCACCCACCAGAGGGAATTATGATACCTTAAGCAAAAGTTTCAACAAAATACCACAATACCTCCTTCTCGTAAAACCATTATATATATATATATATATATATATATATATATATGTAAATAAGTTCATTAAATCTTTTATACATTTCCAGAATTGCATTCAGATGAAAGAGTCGTGTATTTAAAAAATAATAATAATGAGAAACAATTGTTAAATTATAATTTATTTTGTCCTCAGACCTTAGGTTCCTTGATATTCATTTCAGCTGTAGTTGGTTTACCTTTTAAAACAAATTACCATAGATTTATTCTAATAACAATTCAAATTATTGTTTATTTTACTTTTATCTGGTTATTTGCAGGTTATACAACTGACAGATACTGAAACTTCTTATGACTATGTATGGGAATTTATATAAAGTGACGTCCTGCTATGTCAGAAAGCTTAAAAGTGGAATTGATTTCTTAGGAAAACGCTATAGAAATATTGCAGACGTCTATTTTCAGTTTCAGCGACATGAATCATTTTCAGGGAGTAGTTACAAATTTAATGCATTCAAGAAAAATGCTTTTACAAAACATGCAACAGTTGGATTCGGGTCTATCAGTTTGGTTATAGGTCTTTGGGCATTACGGAACAAGATCCCGAGCTCTGATTATTTTGTTTTGCACGCAAAACAGAACGTGCATTTACCATTGGTAAGTAGAGCTCATACTGTTACTATTAGTATTAGAGTTAAACACAAAATTACAGTTATATATAAAATAAACCTTAGTATTTATTGCAAAAATAACAAATTCTGCTCAATTTTTATTTCATCAAGTATGCCTGAGAGTAAATTTTATGCCGAATGTGTGTTATCCTTAGTCTTAATTGGAGTCTACAATCATTGTGACATAATTATAAGAAGTTATGAAAGTGAAGAAGAATGTATACATTATATTTGATATATCCAGTGCCAAGAAAGCCTTTTGCTCAATATAAATTACAATTACAATATTGACTCATCAGGTTCTGGTGGTAATCAACATGCATAGTGTTAATAGTAATACTAATAATGATTGTCTGATTGAAATGATATTTATATCATCATTTACTTGCACAGTAGCTATTTTGGTGTTAACGAGATCAAGTTAGCAAACTTTAATGTTAATCAGTTTTATTTAAGTCATTAAACATCAATTAGGTTTATAACTTATGAATAACAAGGAACTGTTTGGTCTTTCAATTCTATGGCTCTTCTTACATGCACATCCTTGAAAAAGCAAGAATATAAAACCACTCTTTATTTTTCAGGCAGTCATAGATCCCATCTTAATTTCATTTTTTGTAAAGTGCTGGCTTCCCCTACTTCTGAGGGCAACAAGTTAATCACCCTGTTGGAAAAATAAATATTTCTTAACTGGAGCTTGGCCTGTCTTTTACAAATTTTATATTTGTGGCCTCTTATCCTACTTTAATATAGCTAAATTTTAGAGTTTATATTTAATGGTGAGACCAGAGATTAGATCTCATATGACTATCTAACTTGCATAATCTTTCAAAGCACTGACATCTTTACATCACCACTAGGGGCAGCTTGTGTCAGTTTCATAATACAAACAAACATATTTTAACATGCTCTAGCTAGAAGTCAATTTAGTGATTTAATATAACCCGAAATTCATAGTTAAACTAAACAACAGAAGGAACAATAAATGAACAACAAACAAAACAAAAGTGCCTTGAACTTAATCAAGTCAGTTCATGAGATGTAGATAAAACAAATTACTGCTGATTGTTACTAAATATTGTTATTGATCTTGAAGTGATTTAATTTTGGAATAGTGTTTTATTTTCAGAATTAGGTTTTTTTTTTCTTCTTCTGGATCATTTTCCTAATTCCTTTATTTATTTATTAAAGTTAACATTAATATTTATGTTGTATTGTTTATTGAAATTATAGCTCTTAAAATAATGGAGCAAGTACTACCACCCCCATCCCATAGTATACTCTGATCTCACATTAAATAGCTAATTGAAATCAATAAATTTTGTGAAATCAAGCTTGACCAACAAAGAGGCAGAAAAGTGTAGTCGAGGCAGTTAAACATTGGTAAATTCCTTTGTGAGCCAATCAAAATTAAAATCATTCATGAAATGAATTTGTGGCATATTCATAGAATAATTATTGGTACAAATCAGTTAGAATAACAACTACCAATATATAGAAAAGCCAATGCGTTTTGGTAACACTACCTTCCAGCAATGGTTTTTATGTCATGTCGCTTAGCAACAAAAGTATAACCTAATAATTTTAGGTGCTACCAGAGCGTGAGGTCTATGCAGATACTGTCATCATCACCATTTTAACTTTCATTTATTTGCAATTGGCACCATTTATTATAAATATCACTTTTAAACTAATAAAGTACAAAATACCATTACATAACATTTTTGGGGCAAATATAATCAGAATGAAATAAATTCCAACAATCTAAACTAACACAATTATAACCTAAATTTAAAGTATTCTTTTGGAACACATAACTTATTATATTATTATTATTTGCTGAACAAAAATGTGGATATATATAAATTAGTTAGCAAGAAATTATGTTTTAGTGAATCATTTAAACGGTGATGATGATAGTAGCACCTGTTGTTATTAGTCTATTTACTGAAAGTATAAAATGAAATGTATAGACAACATTTTTTAATTTAGAATATCCATTGATTAAAGAGGTTTCTTTTTTTTATTAAAAATGTTGGTGATATAACAGAAAATAGCTTAATTCAGAAACAATTTAAATTGATATTTTTAATTTCGTGATCAATTTTATGCACTTGGCTTTAGGCTAGGTGATCCCATGTTACATCTTTAAGCTTATTATACCAACACTCACTACATTTATAAGGTTTCACGGCAGAAGTGCAATTTGGCTTTTATGACTCCTCCTATTTTGATAGAAATCAAGTGTGACACTTGCTTTTATATAGGTTAGATTAACATTTATATCCAGTCTTGGCCAGGCAGATAATGATGTATTTATTAACTTTTTTTTTTGTAAGTGATAAAATTTGTATTCCAATTGCTTGAAAGTTTTGTTTTGAATATTTATGGTTGTTAAAGTTTAATCAGTTCTTTTTTGTCTGACCGTGGTTGTATCAGCTTTTTATTTTAGTCTGTTGCTCTACTATCTTAAGAATATAACAAAAAGAAAAAAAGATGCCATTATCTTATTGACTAGAATATTCTTGTAGCCCTTTTCCAGTAAGTCAATATTCTTTCTTGGATAAGAAGATGAAAACTGTGCTCAACATTCCAAGTGAGGTCTGACTAGTGTTTTGTATATGGAAATAGTTACTACTTTTTACTTGTAATTATTGTGTTTATAAATATATCCTAAAATTCTATTAGTTTTATTACAATCAACAGAGTACTGTTTTAATGGCTTGAGTGACTCATCAACCACTATGACAAGATCTTTGTCTTTGCTCATACTATTGAGTTGGTTCCCCTTTGTATTAAATGTGTTAAAAATTATAACCCACATGCATTACCTTGCACTTACTATAATTAAAGGTCATTTGCAAAATATTTGTACAACTTACCAATTTATCCAAGTCCATGGATACTACCTCAGCATTCTCGGTGTAGTTAGAAATATTCAAGCTTAATGTCATCATCAAATTTTACTAATATACTAATTATACCCCTATTAGAATGAGAAAAATTGCAAGCACTGACCCCTGTTTGACCCCATTAATAACCCTTTCATCCAACCACCCAACAATCAATTAACAAGTCATTTCCCAACCCCTACTGATGTGATTCTCCAGACTCAACTTTCAACATAATATTTAAGAACAAGGGACCTGTTGGTCCACAGAGGCTGTCTCAACCATTTAAGCAAAAAAATAAAATGAAATCTAACCCTCATCATATAGATATTTGTCAAGTCTTCCTTAAACACTCATAAACTTACTGCATACGTGGCATATGAAGGCAACCTATTCCAAAGACAAACCACCCTGGTAGAAAAATAAAAATGTCTTAGCTAAAGACGACTTCTGTCTTGCAAATATTTATGTGTTTCTTTGTCCTACTATTCTCACCATTAAATCCACCCCAAAAAAATAAGCATCAAAACTATTAATTCCCTTGATAATCATAAACACCTCAATTAGATCCCTTCTGACTTTTTTTTTTTCTAAATAAACAATTTAAGACACCTTAACTTGTAGTTTTATGACTGTTTCATTTCCAGCTATCATCCCAGTTGCCCTTCTTTCAATCCTTTTTCAACAGTTCAATGCCTTCATGGAAAGGAGCCCAAGACTTAACATAGTACTCCAAACGAGGCCTAACCACTAACCTATAAAATTAAATGATAACTTCTTTAAACTTGTATTCAGTGTTTCTGTAAATACAACTGAAAATCCTACTTGCCTTACCACTAGCATCAAGCACACTGCTTAGCTGACTTAAAATTCTGATCCTTTTCTTCCATAATATTGAGGATAGTTCCATCAAAATTATACTCATAATTGAAATTATGATGACATATATACATTAACTTCTTTTTATTATAATAAAAAGACACCTGTCAGTTATTTTCCCAACTGACTAAATAATCTAAATCTTTTTGTAAAGCAGAAGTACCATCCTCACATCCAAGCCTTAACATAGAGCTGTTCTATTAGTGGAATTTACTAATAATTTAATCATCTAGCTCATTAATCAATTATTTTCATATGAGATAGCTATAAAAAACAAATTGACTAAAATTGAGTTTTGTTACCTGCTATGGGCAGACCTCAGATGGTCCATGGTGTAGCTTTGTGCTTAACAGCAAAAAAAACATGGCAATATTTTGATTACATGCATTGAAAATATGGCTTGGTAAATATTTGAATAATAAAGGCTAGCTTTGATGTTTTACTTTTATTCAAGAGTTTTGTACAGTGGATGGTATGGTCCAGTTGGACCAACAAGTCCCTTGAGGTCCTTAAGTTGTATGTATGTGTGTAATTAGTTGATTGTTTTTGACATTAATTGAATGTTTTATATGACACTAGTCAATTTATTTGGTTATAGGTTATTGATTATATTGATTAATTGAGTTAATCACCCTGCTTTACCTTTATCTTAGCCAGATTTACGAAATTTATCTATATTATTGATGTAAAGAAAAAAGAAAGCAGAAGTCCCAACACTGAGCCCAGAAGTACCCCATTTTTGACATTAATTGAATGTTTTATATGAC